TCTGGCTAACTTAAATTCTTGTGTATGGCATTAGTTTATTTGACTTTTTCATGATATTTCAGTTGTTCATTTAAATTGAGAATTTGATTTAAAAGGAAAAATACCCCAAAGCTCCTTGAACGAACTTAGACAGTTTATATTTTCAATTAGATCACAAATCCCTGAAGTAAACCCTGCTGATAAAGGGGGTTACACAAATTAAGTGGCGAGCCAGCCAGGAGCTTGGGTTAAAATTTACTCGTAGTGTTAACTACCTCAGTAAATGTATTTTCTTGTGTGATTTGATTTTCATTCAATATTCTGAGAGAGGGATCTCCATTTTTTCAAATCTATTTTGAGCTTGATTATATGTCCCAAGACTAAATATGGATATTTGTAACCGTTTGATGTACACGGACAAAACTGTTTGTATGTTACAGGGTTAGAAGAAACTTGTAGCATTGAGGACATCACAGGTTTTTTTAAAGTACATGGGGAAATTGCAAAAGTAGTCAGAGTGCCCAATTAGCCAGAGCAGCCGGCAGGTAGAGTTCTCATTCAGTATTCATCTGAGAGTTCAATTTTGAAGATTGACCCTGATAGTTTAGGAAACCTGCCAAGCCCAAAAGACCCTGCTGTAATATGGCATGCAAGAACCATTCGTGATATAAGTCAAGAGCGATTAGGCAGGGATCTGGCACAAAGATATTTAGATAAACTGAACACTATCCCAGGAAGTGGCAGAGCAGCATTCCTACTTGCTCTACGGAAAGAGCTTCAGAGTGTCCAGCTTCATTCAAGTGACTTGCAAGCTGCTGAGGCAGGTCCACATACTACTGTTCACAGTCCTAGCCCTCAGGATTCAGGAAGAACCAATGTTGAACTCAACCCTGCTGAGTCAATTGCAGCTCAAACTACAGTTTCAAACTTTTCTCCCTCATATGTACCACTGAGCCCTGTTCACATCGACGAAAGCATGCTAAACCCTCCTCAGATTTAAAAGGTAGTTGTGGAGCATGTTATCCGTAATGAGTCTGCACACTCACCCTTGAGGCAGAGCCGGATCCGTACGTTCTCCGGCAGAATCCCCAAGCCAAATGGGGAGGTTGATTACAAGACTTGGCGTACTCAAGTTGATCTTCTACTTTCTGACCCTTCTTCGTCAGATTCTCAGAAAGTGAGGATAATCTTAGAAAGTCTGCTTAGCCCAGCAGCTGATATTGTCAAGCCTTTAGGTGTTAGTTCTTCACCTAGTTCTTACCTTAACCAGATTGAATCAGCTTTTGGTGTAGTAGAAGATGGAGAAGAGCTCTTTGCATCTTTTCTTAACTTAAATCAAAATGCTGGAGAAAAACCATCAGCATACCTGCAAAGACTGCATACTCTTCTTACCCGAGCAATATCTAGAGGGGGAGCTAGTGCCGCCGACTCCCGTAAACATTTGCTTCGCCAGTTTTGTCGAGGGTGCTGGGACCAGACCATGATAATAGGACTCCAGCTTGAACATCTTAAAGACCACCCACCACCTTTATCTGAACTTCTGCTCTCTGTTAGAACAGAAGAAGATAAAAGGGCAGCAAAGTTAGACCGAATGAAGAAACACCTTGGTAGCACAAAAGCGGCTGCCCATGCTCACTCCGTGTATGGCCTACCTGTCAATGTAGAACCCCAGTCTGAGCCCTCAAAGAAGTGCCAACAGGATGAAACTCAGAAACTTAAAGGAGAAATAGCTGCACTGAGGAAACAAGTTGCCTATCTGTCAAAGAAAGGTGAAACAAAAGAGTGTGAAGTTAATTGTGTAAAAAACTCCAAGGAGGACACAGTTACCAGTGACTGTCTTGTGGCTAGCTCCAACATGACATCTGACTCTACAACCATGCCAAGGCCCTGGTTCTGCTTTAAGTGTGGAGAGGATGGACACATTGCAAGCCATTGCAGTAAGGAACCCAACCCTGAGCTTGTTCGAAAAAAGAATTCACAGCTAAGGGAGAGACGAGAGAAGTACAGGAAATTGCATGAACCATCTCAGTTTTCTTTAAACCTGTAGCAGCTCCTGCTGCGGGACACCCAGGAGCTGCCAGCCCTTATATTCATCCCAGATTGATGGTCCATGAAGCTGGCAATTATGTTAGAGAAAACCATGGGAATAATGGGGTTAAAGATGAGTTCTTGCCACAAGGTCTTATTGGTCAACCTTGCATGGCTTCTGTGTTTGTGGAAGACATTGAGTGCGAGGGTCTCACAGGGTCTCAAGTCACAACTGTTTCAGAGACTTTTTACTTGACCCAAGAGGAGACTTTCTCAGCACTTAGTGGTGCTAAATGGTTCTCTGTCATGGACCTTAAATCTGGATACTACCAAGTCGAAGTAGTCGAAGAAGATAAACACAAAACAGCTTTTGTTTGTCCTCTTGGCTTCTTTGAATTTAACCGGTTGCCTCAAGGTGTAACAAATGCACCTAGCACCTTCCAGAGGCTTATGGAGAAGTGTGTAGGAGACTTGCATCTGAGTGAGGTTCTTGTTTTTCTGGATGACCTCATTGTCTTTTCCAAAACACTTGAGGAACATGAAGCCCGACTGATGAAAGTGTTGAATTGTTTAAAAGAGTTCAGGTTGAAGTTATCTCCAGATAAATCCCAATTCTTTAAGTCCTCTGTGAAGTATCTGGGACATGTTGTGGATGCTGATGGAGTTCACACAGATCCAGAGAAGATTTCAGCTCTGAAAGATTGGCCTCGTCCCTCAACCAGGTGAGAGCTAAAATGTTTTCTAGGCTTCGCTGGGTATTATCGGCGTTTCGTTGAAGGTTACTCTAAAATAGCCAAGCCACTAAATTGTCTTACTGCAGGGTATAGTCCTCCAAGGAAAAGGGGGAAGATCTATAAAAGAGAGAAACCAAACACTCCTGCGAATCCCAATGCTTCCATTGGTGAAGAGTGGACAGTTGAGTGTGAAAGTGCATTCAGGACTTTGATTGACAAGCTGACATCTGCACCAATCCTTGCCTTCGCGAACCCACAACTTCCCTACGTCTTACATACTGACGCCTGTAGAGAGGGGTTAGGCGCAGCTCTCTATCAGGAGCAGGAGGGCAAGCTTCGTGTGATAGCCTACGCCAGTAGGGGGCTCTCAAAAAGTGAAAGAAACTACCCTACCCATAAATTAGAATATTTAGCCCTGAAATGGGCTGTCTGTGAGAAATTCAGTGATTCTCTCTATGGCACCGAATTTACACCACTCACTGACAATAATCCTCTGACATATGTGCTAACCACAGCGAAACTTGATTCTGTGGGACATCGCTGGCTTGCACAATTATCCACATACAGGTTCAATATAAAGTACAGAGCTGGATCTGTCAATAAGGATGCTGACGGATTGTCTAGGAGACCACAGAATCCGCCTGAGGCAGATGATGCGTTCCTTGAAGAGGAGAGGGCTATTGAAGACTTAAATCGGCGACTAAGTGAGAAAACCGAAGTGATCTCTGCCGAAACACTCTCTGCACTATCTGACCACCATTCAGTTGTGTTGTCAAGTGAAGTTTCTGATGCACCAGAGGTTGTTCTTGCAGAGTCCTTGGCGTTAAATGCTTCGTCTGTCCCTGAGAGTTTCGCCTGCCCAGGTTATGAAACTATCACTGGAATGACCCGGGACGACTGGTACCGAG